CACCAATAAATGGTATGCCTTTGCACCTCTTGCCTTCACAGCCTCCTGAGAAAGTTGTTGATTGTTCCGCTGTGCCTGTCTGGCCCATACAGATAACCAGTCTTTCCTTTCGTTTTTGTTGTTCTTACTCTACCCCATGCATCTGTTTATTCATTTCTTTTAGTGAGAGCTAGTCCACAGCTGACCTGGGCAAACTTTGCAGTATTGGAGCATTGCCTGCCCTAGTAGGGTTATTGTGGGTAGCTCCTCTCTCTTTCAATGGTACTCATAACCTCAGTGTTCACGTCTATGGGGCTCTGACATCTGGAAAATGGGAGCTTTCTTGGGGGTGTACGCTGGTGTAGGCTGTCTTTGTTTCTGCCAACCACAGGTAGGTTTCTGCAATGCAAATATGTTTTGTTGTCTTGGAAACTGCTCACAATGCTCAAGATGACTGTAGTGGTCTGGTTGTCGTCCACAGCTCAGCAATCACCTCCTCTTTTGCTCTGTCTGCTCAGGTCTTTCTCCCAGTAAGCACTGAATTCACTTCTCTATCCTTTCATCTGAATGTCAGAGTTCTAGGACTACCATCCAGTTTTCTGCTACCTTACTGCAGAGGGTCCCATAGCCTTTCTGCCTACTTTGTTATTTTACCCCACCTCTCCTTATCCTTTACGTCATCTTTTAGATGTGTTTAAAGTCATATGTTTCAATAAATGACTTCTCTTCCAGCCTTTTTTTTTTAAAGCTTTTATTATGAATTAAGTGGTAGTGTACATTATAGAAAATCAGTTTTGCACTCAACCAATTGTATTGTGTTTCATTGCAATGATTACAGTGCCCTCCATGTACCACTGATTAACAGTATTTGCCGCTATTCTCTCTTCAGCCTTTATTTTTAAAGTACCTAGTATAGATTCCAGACAAACTAGGAAGAAAGAGAAGCAGAGTATTTTGAATGTTTACTTACTGAAAACTTTATGAATAGCTGTGGAACACTGTCAGATAGCACTAGAATATTGAATAGTGCAGGAAGATGAGCCCTTCAGGTTGCAAGGCACTGAAAATACCACTGGGGATGAGCTGCTTCCTCAAAGTAGAGTTGATTGACTCTGATGACACGAATGGAGTAAAACTTTTGGAACCTTCATTTACTAATGGGGTACAACTCAAAATGAGGAAAAAACAGCTGCAAACATCCATTAATAATCATAGCATGAAATGTATGAAATATGAACCTAGGAAAATTGGAAGTTTTAAAAAATGAAATGGAGGGCATAAAGATCAGTATCCTAGACATTAGTGAGCTGAAATGGATTGATATTGGCCAGTTTGACTCTGACAGTTGCATGGTTTACTATGCTGGGAATAACAGATTTCAAAGGAATGTTGCATTCATGATGAATGTTTTTTCATCATGAAAAATTTTTTTTTAATTTATCTTGAAATATAATGCTGTTTGTTACTGGATAATTTTCATATATCTTTATGAACTATACTAGTCAATACCACTATTATTGAAATTTATGTGCCAGTCATTAAAGCTAGTAATGATGAAAATGAAGAATTATGCCAACTTGATCATACATGCAATCAAGATGTATTGCTAATTATTGACGATTGGAATGCAAATGTTAGAAACAAAGAAAAAGGAAAATATGGCCTTGGTGATAGAAATGATGCTGGAGATATGCATGATGGAATTTTGCAGGACCAATGACTTCTTCATTACAAATACCTCTTTTAAACAGCGTAAAACATGACTATACACATGGACCTCACCAGATGGAATTCACAGAAATCCAATTGACTACATCTGTAGAAAGAAGTAGCGGGAAAGTTCCATATCATTAGCCTAAACAAGGCTAGGGGCAAACTGTGGAGCAGATCATTAATTGCTCATATATAAGTTCAGACTGAAGCTGAAGAAAATTAAAACAAGCCCACGTGAGCCAAACTATGACCTTGAACATATCTCACCTGAATTTAGAGATCATCTTAAGAACAGATTTGATTCATTAGACAATATTGTGGGATGACATCAGGAAACCACACAGGAAGAAAACAAAAGGTCATTAAGAAGAAAAGAAAGAAGGAAAAGGCCAAATGGATGTCAGCGGATACTCTCAAATGAGTTGAGTGCTGAACAGAAAAATATAAAGGACAGCTCAGCTCAGGATGTCAAAGCAAAATATTAAAATGAACTGTGCAAAGACCTGGAATTAGAAATCCAAAACGGAATAACACACTCAGCATTTGTTTGACTGAAAGAACTAAGGAAAAAAACTAAACCTGAAATTGCATCATTGAAGGATTTGATGGGCAAAATATTGAATGAAGCAGAAAGCATGAAAAGTAGATAACAAGTCACTGCACTAAAAAGAAATGGTAGTTGTCCAACTATTTCAACAGGTAGCATGTGGTCAAGATCCAGTGGTACTGAAGGAAGACATCCAAGATGCACTGAATGCATTGACAAAGAAAAAGGCACCAAGAATTGATGAAATACATACAAATTGAAATCTTTCACCAAATGGATGCAGAACTGGAGGCACTCACTCATCTATGCCAAGAAATTTGAAGACAGCTAAGTGGTCAATATTTGATCCATATTTGTGCCCATTCCAAAGAGAGGTGAACCAATAGAATGCAGAAATCATCTGACAATTATCATTCATATCGAATGCAAGTAAAATATTGCTAAAGGTGAAAAATAGCTGCAGTAGTACATTGGCAGGGAACTGCCAGAGATTCAAGCCAGATCCAGACAAGGATGTGGAATAGGATATTGCCAACATCAGATGGATCATGGCTGTGAAAGCAGAGTATCAGAAAGATGTCTACCTCTGTTTTATTGGCTAGGCAATGGCTTTTGATTGTGTTGATTTTGACAAGCTATGGACAACATTACAGAGCGTGAGTACTCTGGAACACTTAACTGTGCTCATGAGGAACCTGTACATAAACCAAGAGTCAGTCATTCATAGGGCACAATGGGACACTGAATAGTTTAAAATCAGGAAAGGTGAGTGCCAGGGTTGTCTCCTTTCACTATGTTTATTCCGTCTGTATGCTGAGCAAATAATATGAAGTGCTGGATTATGTGAAGAAGAACGTTCATCAGAATTGGAGGAAAACTGAATAATAACCTGTGATATACAGATGATATAACCTTGCTTACTGAAAGTAAAAAGACTCAGAATACTTATTGATGAAGATCAAAGGCCCCAGCCTTCTGTATGGTTTGCATTTAGATACAAAGAAAACAAAAATCCTTACCATTAGGCTAATAAATAACATGAGTAATGAAGAAAAAACTAAAGTTGTTGAAGACTTCATTTTACTTGGATCAACCATTAACACTCATTGAAGCAGAAGTCAAGAAAGCAAATGATGCATTATGATAGTCAAATCTGCTGCACAAGACATCTTTAAAGTGTTAAAGAGCAAAAAAGTTAATCTGAGGGCTAAGGTATGTCTGACCAAAAGCCATGGCATTTTCAGTATCATCATACGGATGTGAAAGTTGGGTAGTGAATAAGGAAGACTGTAGAAGAATTGATGCATTTGAGTTGTGGTGTTAGAGAAGCATATTAGAAAAGCAAACAAATCTGTGTTGGAAGAGGTACAACCGGAATGATCCTTCGGAGCCTAGATGCCAAACTTCATCCCATACTTTCGACAAGTTATCAGGGTGGCCTAGTGCCTGGAGAAGGACATAATGCTTTTAAAGTGGATAGTCAGCAAAAAATGAGGAAGACCTCTGAGACGGACTGCCACAGTGGCAACAGCATTGGGCTGAAGCGCAGCAACGATTGTGAGATTGGTACAGGACAGCCACTGTTTCGTTCTTTTGTGCAGAAGTTCACTATGAGTCAGAACTAACAACAACATGATAATGTCATCACTTCACATATTGTCTTCCTCCACAGTGTTGAAAGAAAGTGTATCCCTATGAAGGTGGAATTCTAGATCAGGAAAATTTGATGTGTGATATTCACTTACCTCCTATTGGACAGGTCTCTGTCATGGGGTTATATCTATCTGCAAGGGAAATTTAGCTGTTTGCCTAAACTCGGGAGTAAGTGGGGGGTGATGTTAGATTGAGGTAACATGCACACAACTATTACTTTCTGACTATAAAAGTGTTACTTTGACCAGTGTCATCAGGAAAAACGTCTGAAATTTCAGCAGAGTTCTGAATTGATGAAAGAATCATATAAATGTGTGGGAGAAAAATATTTTAGAATGAATGGATAACAAGTAAATTTTTCATTCAAATGGACTGTTGACTACCTCGTGTATTTATGTTTCTCCCGCTATATCTTTGTTTATAAGCTAACCTATAAGAAAGTTTATTTCATGTTCAAGTATCTTGTTATATTATTTCCTGAAATATTCGCATTAAAATTTTATCCATCTTTAAAGTCTTTTGTGATATTTTCCTCAGGTTTATCCCTATTGCCTCTCTGGTGCTATACAATCTTATTATTGCAATTTTTTTTTTTTTTTTTAATGAAAGGGCTTCAAAAATTCATGGTAAAGTAGAATTAAAGGGTAATGCATTTTCCCCCATAAACTTTTGAAGCCCCCTCATATGTAAATAGGAGTCCTGGTGTGGCGTGGTAGGATAGCCGCTAGACTACTCACTGCAAGAGTGCAGTTCAAGTCCACCAGCCGCTTCTCAGACAGCCTACACAGGGTCGCTATGAGGTGGAACTGACTTGAGAGCATTTAACAGACAACAACAACATTAAATGATGTCTCCTGTTAAAGTTGCAAATGTAAAGTTGCATATACCCTAGGTTTTTCAAAAGAAAGATGTACATAGTGGTATTGTAGATGTATGTAATATTTGTTGAATATTGTTGGGTTTTCAAGCAGTTATTCTAGATAAATATTTTTTGGTATACTTTTCACTCCAGCCTGACATAGTCATTAATTGAATATAAGATACTGTATCATTGAAAATGTAAATGTTACTAGCTAGTAAAGCAGGTGTATTTTTCCTTTGATTACAGATAAAAACTGCAACAAATATGACTGACTTAAATTCAGTAATAAACGAATGCTATAACTATCTAGAAGTTACTGGTTGTCTAAAACTTGTAACGGTATTAAGTGATAAATATCACTTGATTAATGACATACTTTTCTACCATGTCATTAAGAGAGTCCAAGCACCTTTTGAAAGGTAAGTTATATGTTGTAAGTTATATGAAAAATTCTCTTAAATTACATGTTTGAAATGATTGTTGTTAAGTGCTATTGAGTCGATTCCAACTCATAGCTAGCTACCCCGTATAGAGTTTTCACAGTAGCTGGTGAGTTTGAAATGCCAACCTTGCAGTTCAAACTGACCTAGAGATTGAGTGCTTATCTTATGACACTACACCAGGACTGTTTTTAAAGTGATTCTTTTGCCGTTGAGTCGGTTCCGACCCATTGCAACCCTTTTATAGGGTTTCCTAAGAGCAACTGGTGAGCTTAAACTGCCAACCTTGTGGTTCAAACTGACCTTGCAGTCCAGTGCATTAACCCAAAGTGCCACACCACTAAAGTGATTAGTTGTCTTTTAATGTGAGATACAGTTGGTATTGAATATGTATTTAAAAATAAACCTTTTATAGATTGCTTTACTGTACCAAGTTATGTAAATATGTGATGTTTAATTGGGAAAGTAATCTTTACTTCAGTTTTTTTTTCTAGTTTATAATTAGTATTCTAAATAATTGTTTTAAAAATTCTTACATCATGAACCAATTATACATTTCCATCTCTACTCATTACATAACTATTTAGTGTCTATTGTCTATTGAGTAAGGTAAGTCAGTATGAACATTTTGTGATTAACAAGGTAGATGTGTTTCTTCTTGTTCTTCTGTAACTTAGTAGTATTCAAATCTTTTTCTAGTACCACTATTAGAAGAGTTTACAAACTTCTTTTATTCCCATGTACTCTTCTCTTTTTTTAATAACGGAAAATGCAAATATATACGAAAGTGGACAGACTAATATAACCATTTATATATTCACCACCTAGATCTTAGCATTTATGCACTTATTATGACCAATCTTATTATTTTCAAGCAAATACTGTACATCATGCATATCATCTCAAAAGTGAGCAACATAATATTTTTAATACCAATATCATTAACCTCTAGACTTAAATATACTTGATGTATTAAAAACCATTGTATTTATTATCCTTATTGAAATTCATATAGTCTCATCTTTGGCCTGTATAAACCTCTTTATGGTTTTTTTGTTTGTTTTTCCAGTTCTTTTGCTATGACTCTAAGTGGTCTTTGATAGCTTTCTTGCTAGCTAGTATGGCATAATGTTTCAGAACCATTTTGTAGATTTTGGCCTAAGGAATGCTTATGTCTTTTAATGGGAAATAGTATTTCAAAACCACAGTGTGGATTCTAGGAATCTTTTTTATTTTTGGCTAGGATGGCATTGTTTGTAGGTCTTTTCAGTGGATCCAAAATTAGGAGCAACAGTTTTTGTTTTGTTTTTATTGGTTGGAGTACATAATGACACTTTTAATTAGAATTTGCTGTTAAGAATTTTTATTTGGAAGCCAGGATGGTAAGACTTCATTTCTCATGATATCAAGAGGAACCAGTCCCTGGAGAAGGACATAAAGACATCATTCCTTAAGAGTGGAGGGTCAAAAAGAGAAAGGACACCCACCCACACCCACAATTAGATGGATTGGCACAATAGCAGCAGAATTGAACTCAAGCATACCAATTAAGAGGGTGATGGGGGACTGGACAGTGTTTCATTCTGTTATGCAGAAGGTCGCTGAGTTGGAATCGACTTGGCAGCACCTAAGAACAACAAAAAACCTTTATGAACTCCCACCAAACAACTTTTATCTAGATGTATCTGGGTGAAAACCGATGGGGAAAGATACTGGTGTAATATGATTTAGCTGTGAGTGATCGTTAACAGGGCTAATTCTGCTGAGTAGTCGATGTTTCCATCTTGCAAGTAACAGAATGAGCTATCTCAGAAGCAGAAAGTGAGGAAGTTAATCTCAGTACCATCAAAGAAAAAGAGCTAGGAATGGAGTGCTTCCTTTGAACCCCAAGATCTTTGCACATTGAACTTTCTCAATCCAGGAACAGAAAACTGAAACAACAGTGGAAAAGCAGAGGTGTGGCAGAGTAGCAGCAGTGACAAAAACAAGATAGAAAGCACCGGACAGAGCAGTGGGCTTCCTGGCCCACAGAGCAAGTGAAGCTAAGTGCCTTTGGGCAGAGTGAGATGCTGCTAGGCATTTAATTGGGGAACTAGGTTTGCTGATCCATGGAGCTAGAACTGAATGCCTTTGGAATGAAGCTTACAGTAGAGTAGAGTGTCCTTTGGGCATACATCAGCAATCCTGAAGGAGATTTGTAACTTTGTTCGAGCAGGGCAGAGGCCAGGCCAAGGGCCAGAGAGAGACCTGCCTGTGGGTACACCTTAGGAGAGACTGTCCTGATCCAAGAATTGTGCCCTGAGTATTGTTGGCCTTGAATTATAACCTGTTAACTTCCCTAATAAACCCTCTAATGGTGGCCATTGCACTCGATTATCAAACCCAGCCTACTAGAGAGGGCTATGGGAGGAATAGTTAGTGACATTTTTTTTTTTTTTTTTTGCACACCAAGACATATGGAGATTTCCTTGGGATAGAGGGCTCACAGATGTTGACAGGAGACAAAGACTTTCCCCAGACCTGACAGTCTTTTCCTATTGCTGACATCTGAATTCAGACTGTAGCCTACTACACTATGAGAAAATAAAATTTTGTTTGTTACATTCTACTTGTATGTTTTCTGTTACAGTTTCACTAGATAACTAAGACACTCTCCTTAATATTTAAGTAAATAAAAACTATATAGTGAAAACCATCTTTTAAAATAAATACCTTAGTCCTCAAAATGCTAGAGATAACGAAGCCAAAAGCAAAAGGGCCTAATCATATGAAATCAAAAATCCTCTCCTTACTCCATACTTGGGTGTGGAATCCAATCCATAGCAAGGAAATAAAGAAAGTAATTGTTTTGGAGAATGGTGATACTAATAGAGTAACAGCAAATGCAAATACATATACAATTGGCTGTGTAAGGAAATTTCTGTAACCCAAGACTAAAAGGAATGCTAAATCCTCATTGAAGAAGAGTTCTTAGTAAAAATGACATAAACGAGAATTAGACAGAGTAGAACATCAAGAATCTAGAAAGGTAGAAGATAGACCAGGTAGAGACTTTGAGACCTAAGAAATCACATAGCAACAGAAAGAGGAAATTCTAGACATTCTTACATAAATGAAAGCTAAGAGAATTTGTGGTCAGCAGATCTATCCTGAAAGAATGAATAGGAAGTTTTTGAAACAGAAGGCACAGTATAAAAGATGGATTCTTAGAGTGTGAGGAAGGAATAAAGAACAAAGAATTATAGAAATATGTTTTTATGTTTTCTTGAATTTTCTCAATTTAGTCTGATGGTCTAAGCCAAAATAATAACATTGTCAGTTGTTCTGGATATATGAGGACATATTTAGGAAATTACAATATTGATGGGACTGGCAAAGCTTCTACACTTGAGTCAAACTTGTAAAATAATGACAACATTAAATTGTGAATAGTTATACATAACTTCGAATCAAAGCAATATATAGAGATTCATTCCAAAATACTACTAATAAAAAATGGAATTTAAAAATCTACATAAGCTGTAAACTGTAAACTGATGATATATGGCGGGGATAATAATCAATGTAATGAAACAAACTATATGAATGGTTGAATGTGAAGCTGATGATGTGCCCTGTAAACTTTCACTCAATGCAAAATAAAAACATTTAATTAAAAAAAAAAAATCTACATAAGGTAACTCATAGGAATACAGTAACAATGAGAAAAAATAAACAAAAAACGACATGGAGTGAAAAGTTGGTGGAATGACAGTTTTTACTTCTTTGACATTTTTAATCAAGATAGTTCTATGCTAGATAAGCTGGCACCATAATATTAAACAGTTTATTTTCCTTGCTATTGAAAGGTATCTGTAGGTGGTTTATACTAGGTTGCTAACAGAAAAATGAGCAAAATTTTTAGAAAATTCGAAGGACTTGGTTATTAAGAATGGAAGAGGGAAGAGTTAAAGGGTGACCTTCAGATTTCTAGCAATGACAATTTAATGGGTAATGGGGCATTTTAATGTCAATAAAGATCCAGATTTTGGTAGTACAGTGATGAGCTTTCTTTTGGATTTAATAAATTTAGCTGCTTAGAAATCCTGCATATGGTACCCAGTAGTCTATGAGATCTATTTCTTATAGGGATAAAAATACATTCACCAAATGAGAGGGTGAGATTGCCTGAAATATGTATGTAAAGGGAGAAGAGAAAATGAAATTGGACATATCCTTGAGAGACAAGCATCAACATTTTTTTTTTAAGTTTTTATTGTAATTGAGTAATAGTTTTACATGGGAGAACATCAGCTTTACATTCATTGTGTTGTATTTCGTTTCATTGCAGTGATTACAATCCCCTGCATGCATCATCATTCAACAGCATTTGTTTACTTGTTTCCATTCCCTCTGGGGGTTTTTTGGGTGTTTTTGGATATACACCGAGTACTCAGGAATATAAAGCCATTCAAACAACCAAAGGGTATACCCTGGAAGCCTGCCCCCCTCCCCCCACCACCACCACCACCAGCACATAGCCCTTCTCTCTCCCTGAGCCCAGAGTCCCCAGCTGCTCCATCTCTCCATGTCATCGTCTCTGCCTCCATCTCTGATATTGCTGCTTCTCTGGATAGGGTCCCACACTCCACTCTTTTCCCTTGATGGTGCCAGGGTTCTCTGCTCCTGGACTATAAGATCAATCACTTCCCTCCTTTTGTTATAAAATATCTACCATTACATTTGTAATATTCACAATCAGTCCTGATAGCAATTATTCACTATTTATCTACATGGGTCTTACCCACATCTCCTTTCACCAGCCCCATCTAGACAGGTTGGAAACTGCTCAGTGGAGATTCTACCTTCCCCGGCACCCTCTGAAACTAAGCTCACTCTTGAAAGCTTGTAAGCCTGTCACTTTGTGACTTTCTAGCCTCCCCCCGCCCTATTTTTGGTAGCCAGTGTCTAAGTTGCCCATCCCTATCAACCCTGTGTACATAGGAGGTGGGAATGATCCTTGCTGTAAAGATTCGTTCCCTCTTTTAAACTATATCCGAAAGTATAGATCAAGTTCATTGAATTATAGCAGATTACACTTTTCTTCCTCTTCTTTCTTCCTCTAGCCGAGTTATGATCATACAGCCATTGAAACTAGGTCAGATGGGCACTATCTGCAAGTATGGGCATTCTTGTGCATCTCCCCTCACTTCTCATCGGCTGGATGCTTCACTCTCCACTCTAGTCCTCTGTGACTTACGTCCCTGTCCATGGGCTCAGGAGTCCCCAAGTCTTGCTATACTGCTGGCCAACAAGGTCTAAATCTACATTGACAGGAGTCTGTTGAATGTGGTCAGACTTAGCTCACAGCTTCATTGCTGTTTTTCCCCCACTTCCCCTTATCGGTAGACCAGCGTGGTCACCAGCAAGATTACACAAGCATCAACATTTAAGACAAAGTACAGAAAAAAGAAAACTGAGATAAACTGGAAAGGACTTACCAGCGAAGTAGTGTGGAAACCAGAAGAAGTGGTATCATAGAGTCCAATACTGTTTTTAAACGGAGGTAGTAAGTAGTATGGACTAACTAAACTTTCAAGCAGAATAAGGACTGTTGGGTTTGATGAGATCTGTTAGGATCTCGTGAGATGCACACAGGAGTAGAAGAGAAGTGAATAGGGCATAAAAGAAATGCAGACAGTGAATGTTGATAACCTTTAAAGTAGCTTGTCTAGAAAGGAAAATGGATAAAAGTGGTAGGTAGCTGGATAGAGAATTGAGTGGTGTTTTTACTTTATTCAAAAATAGGAAAAATAAGTAGAAAAGGGGATATTGATGGAAGATCAAGACCATAGTTAAGGTGTAAAACCAGTGTTTCATAGTCTTAGTTTTTTGTTTTTGTTTTTCATTTTTGATAATGTTACTTCTGTTATTTTCTTATTTGTGATAATTGAGTTTTAAAAATTTATATATTTTTTGTTACTTATACATGTTTTTTAAATTAGATTATTGATTTTTTTAGAAAAATGCTTTGATTAGTTAAATTAGTGCCCTGTCATGTATTCAATATCTGTGATATTTTCTATTTCCTTTTTTTTTGGGGGGGTTGGGGCGCGGTTAACACATGTTGAAAACTTAGTATGAATGTGAATCTCACTGTGTTCAATTCTGGTATAGTGCAAAGTTTGTTCATACTATTTTACATTTTTACAAACTCATCACTGGGGTTCACATACTTGCTATAAATTATTGGGAAAGAAATTCTTCAGATTCACATTTTTTTCCTACATTATTTCTAACATATAGATTTCCAGCTGAAGAGGAAAAAAATACTTATTATTTGTGAATCATCAAGTATATTTCAAAGATTCGTCCACTGCTTTCATCTAATAACTTCTGGGTTTTCATAAAATGCTGACATGATCATTGGAAATGTTTGTTTTTACATAACTAATCATTTTCAATTTTAGAAAATTTATAAGAAATCATCCCAAAGCTCAGAACAATCCAATTTTCTTTTAAACAAATTTCTTCTACAACAAATTAGCTATGCTAACTTAAAATGTATGCCAAGAAATCTTTCTCAAAACAAAGCAAAACCCAAGAACCATTACAGAAATCAAATAAAATATGTCAGTACTCATCGGCAAGTTGCTCGAAATTCCCATTCTATGGAGTGGTGCTTTCTATTTAAAAGAAACATTTTTTTCATGAAGCCACTTGAACAGAATTTAAAGCAAACCAGAAACATAAATTGCATAATAAAAAACAGTAAATTTGGAAGTAAAAACTGAAAGTACACTAAACCCATAAGACTGGAGTATTTCAAAGGACAAGGTTCCATGGAAGGTACAAAAAAGTTATAGGGTATCAAAGAAATAAATCATCTTGGCTCTTGGAGATTGAAGTATACAGTAGAGATGTATTCACTTTTTTTATGTGATTACAGATTTGAGACAGATTTCAGAAACTGAGGTGAAAATTTCAACAGATCAGTAAGATTGTCTACACAAAATTCCACGTATAGAAGGAGGAGCTGCGTGTGTGATCATGAGTGTGTGAGCAGGCACCCAGAGTGCTAGGCAGTGAGGGGCTCCTTCCGTTCCACAGCTGAGACTCAAACAGGAGCACAAGCTCCTCACACACAGGGTTTTTAAAAAATACGTATTTTTAAAACACAACCCTATTTTTTTAATTTTGGGATAAATATTATTATGCCATACTGATCTGTTAAACAACATCAGCCTGTCTCCTCTGGGCACTGTCACAAAACCAATAGTTGGTCATTAAGTTTAGTTCAAGGCTTTGAAATATGGCAACCTGTTTTACTAATACAAACAGACTCAGTACTTGAGAAACTGCCCCTGGGCTGGACTCCCACCCACAGGCTGTGATCACATTTTTCCAGAGCACAGGTCTGAGTGCAATGAATCCAGGTCAGATTTCAAGATAAGTAGCTACTCTTCCCACTTCGCTGTTCTTCCAGAAGTCAACTGTAGAGGCAACCCAATCAACATAGATTATTTAGGAAAAAATACCATCTTTGTCACAATCAATTATTTCTGATTTTCTTCCCAAATCGTGTTTATTCTTCAGAATCATTGGGTTTGAAAACTCAATCACTGTGTGGCTTTTCAGGAACACCCATAGCCAACTATCCTATATTTCTTACTGTTACACCTTCTGAGAAAAATATGCATAGGAGTCAAGAACGAATACACAGAAAATCTGGGGATGTATACTGATAAACTGATAAAGGCCATTATATACAAGAAACTGAGTTATCAGAGTGGCTAGAAATGCTATGGTAATTCCAAGCCCAGGACCACTTCTTGAGTGATCAAATGTTTACCACAGGCCCAAAGTGAGGGCTGCTAAAGTCAAAGACAACTGAACATTATTGGCAAAATCCAATTTAGCACTTTCGTGGTTGATGCAAATGAAAACTGCAATACAGAGTATTACACTGGCCCACTCTCTCTTAAACTTGTGGGGTTCTCCAAGGTGACTGTTGATGCAGGGGTAGAGTACACCTACAACAGCAGATGCTTTCCCCACAAAAGGGAGGAACCCACCAGGCAGAAGAAAAGACTGTGGCAATTATTTCTTCAGGGAAAAGTATCTGTAGCAGGTTGAGCACCAGGGCCAGGACAACTGCAACTGAAAACAGCACATGGCTCCTTTACACCAAGTGGTGATGCCAACTGTTAGTGTGGCTGTTGCTACTGCTGCAACTGTGACCACTCACACTAGTGTTCTGGGGGCTGCTCGGGGCACTGGAGTTGGTCCACCAGCACAGAGAGACTGGAAGCAGATGAACTCATCATCACTCCTGCTTTTGCTGCCAGCCATTCCGCGCTGGTTCTTGGGTGTTTTTTGTACCTCTCGCTGGCAGGGCAGGAACAACTCCACAAGTGATTGTCTAATCTGGGCATAATTGCCCACCACAATCTGAGATAAGTTTCCTGTCTGAGGGGACCCACCAGTGGGCTGTGCGTGACACAGGAGGCAGGGTTGCGAAGAAGGAGTTGCGACCAGAACTTGCCTCAGAGTTTCCCCTCTCATTTTGTTTTGTCTTTGTTAATTTCTTATTATTTTTGTTAGTGCCGTCACATTGGTTCTAACTCAGCAACCCTGTATAGGATTTTCTAGGAGCAGCTGATGGGCTTGAACCGCATACCTTTTGGTTAGCAATCCAGTGCTTATCCTACAGCGCCACACCAGGATTTGTTGTTAAGTGCAGTAGAGTCTATTCCAACCCATAGTGACCCTGTATAGGGTATCCAAGGAGCAGCTCGACCTTGCGTTTCAAATGACTTTGCAGTCTGACGCATTACCCCACAGCACCACACCAGGAGCCATACGTAAATTAAAAATTTTTTAATGTGGTTAAGAGTCATTAGTCTTTTGCTTTATCGTCTCTTGGAAACTTTATTTTTATATTTAACATTGAAATGTAAAATTCTTGTTTCCTCTCAATAAAAGATTAATAGCTTAATTTTAAAACTACAAAACAAAAACAATAAATTAGTTATATTAATTTTTAGAAGTGTCATATGATCTATTAATTTTTTTTTTTTTTTAACATCTTAAGTAAATATGAGATAGATGTTTGGCCTTTTAAAAATCATTAGATGTTTTTGAAAAATGTCAGGTAAATTTACTTGGCATATTAATTCCTTATAGTAATATTTAACGTGTATGAATGATGGCTCATTCCTTTTTTTTTTCCTCCCCCTTAAGCTTTAAGCAGGGTCTTAAAACTCTTGGTATATTGGAGAAAATTCAGACTTATCCAGAAGCATTTTGTAGCATCCTCTGTCATAAACCTGAGACTCTTTCTGCAAAAGTCCTTAGTGATCTTTTTACAGTCCACACTTTATCTGATGTACAAGCTTTGGGATTTTGGAACACTTACTTACAGACTATTGAGGGTATGTGGATATTTTATTTATTTATTTTATTTAACTGTCTCAGAATGTTTGTTGAACAGTATTTGTTTCCTTGAATATGGTCTTTTCATGTTAATAATACTGTCATCTTCCAACGCCAAATTTAAAAACAATTTTTAAAAAAGCGGCATAGAATACAACATAAAACAGTCTTCTATCTTATTTCATCTTTCTCAATTTTAAGTTAAATTGAATTGTTTATGTATTGGTTAGGACTATGACTATGATATTAAAAGGATGTTTAATAGAATGAAAACGAACTTTCAGTTGAAATTGTATTTTGCTATTTTGTTTTTTCACTTTTGACACCGATTGGTTTATCTTTATATAAAACATTTATAAAATAGTGGTGGCTTATACTTACAAGTGATTCACAATTATTTTAAATATTTTATCCCCAAAAGATGGAGTTTTAAAATCCTATTGAGCACCTACGACTATATGATAATTTTATGTTAGAGAGGGCATTCACATAAACGGAGTAGTTAGACTAAATGATTTTAAGGGTCCCTCTTTTTGAGAACCAAATAAACATTTATCAGATGTACTGGTTGCCAAAAATGAATGTGGGAGTTGCTACATTCTAAAATTTCCAGTCTAATTGTGTAAGAGGGTGATGGTATCAGATATAACATGGATTTATTGTCTTTTCTTGTGGTAAACTTTCAGGTGGTAAATCTACAACAACAATGGAAGATATTCTTATTTTTGCAACTGGTTGTAGTTCCATTCCACCTACTGGATTTAAACCCACTCCTTCAATTGAATGCCTGCATATGGATTTTCCCATTGGAAACAAGTATAACAACTGTTTAGCTCTTCCAATAACCAATACATATAAAGAATTTCAAGAAAATATGGACATTACTATAAGAAAGACTCTAAGACTAGAAAAGGAAGAAATGTCTCACTATACTGGACATTAAAATATTCATTTGAACAAAGTAATGCTTCTTTAAAAGCTGCTATTGATACTTTCTGTTGTTTCAGAAATCTGGCCATCATCACTTTTGAACAAAGTCTTGGCTCAATAAAATTTGTCATATGAACATAAAGGAATGTTTTGACTGTGTAAGATTTTTAAAAATTTGGTTTTGTTAAGATGTATTTTTCCAACTTGGTGGTATATTCTATTTTCTTAATAGACATGATTTGCTTTGTAAACTTTGTAAACTGCTATCTGAATACTTCTAGAATGACTGAACAGACTTTTAAGTATAGTTGTTGTTAAGTGCTGTCCAGTCAGTTCTGACTCATAGTGACCCTATATAGGGTTTCCGAGGAGCGGCTGGTGAGCTTGAACTGCTAACCTTGTGTTTCAAATTGACCTTGCAACCCAATACATTTACCTGCAGCGCCATGCCGGTATAGTAGTAAATTATTAGCTATAAGATGCCACAGTAGTTGTTTGTTTTAAACAATTACCAAAGTAACACTTTTTCAGATCTTAAAGCATTAAATAGAGAGGTTAACTGGTTAAGTACTGTTACATTATGCATGTTTTTCAGGATGCTACCAAGATGGTTGTCAAAAATGTCTAAGATTACTGATATAGATTAAACTAACCCTCACTACAGTTAGGTTTATACCCTAATGTTGTTGTTATTAATGCCGTCAAGTTGCTTCAGCCCAATAGCAACCCTTTATAGGGTTTCCAAGGAGCAGCTGATGAGCCTGAATTGCTGACTTTGCAGTTCAAACGGATTTGCAGTCTTAACCCATTATGGGTGCATTAACCCATAGAGCCACACCAGGAATCCTTATACCTAATAGAAAGTATTAAATAAAAAGTAGACCTTCTGGAATCTATAGGCATTGAATAGGCTTTAAAAAAAAAACATTTCTGAGGTAGATGCTGTAGTCGAAAAAATTTCTAAGAAAGTGAGTCTTCTTAAAACCTTGGGTTTGACCATAAGATTTTTTTTTTCTATGTGCCATGTGTATGATATTAAATCAGAGTATATCTAATGTACAATTATCTTAGTTATCTGAATGATCTCTAGGTTGCTATGTGGCAGGTTTGCCTATATGATATTTATTATCAAGATGATTGTATGATAGGTAATCTGACACCATACATTATACAATGATATTCTTTGTTCTTGAAAGATCTATGTTAGTACTATTCCTATATAGTAGAAATAAAAATTTAAAAATACAAAATGAAAAAAACAACTAATTTTACCACACAGAAATAGCTAATGTTTGTATATGTCTTTCTACAAACTCTTTAAATATATTTCCTTTCTAAACTCGTTAACAAAACATATTTACATTTTTATTAAAAATTAATGCTACTAAAAGTCAAAAGAAAACCTAATTATAACAAGATAGGTAATAAAAAATATTGAGGACATTCCAATATGTAATAGTCATGTTCCACTTGCAAAAGAAGAATGTGGAAAAACGCCTAATCTTTTATCAAAGATATGAAAAAATAAAACAGTTTTTAACTAAAGTCAATAATGAATTTTGGAAGGTAAAATATTCTGTTTTAACTACATTTTGGTTGATATACAAAGTGTATATCAACTGTCATTTTATCCTTCCTAAGAAACATCCTTGTATTATTGCTATCTTCAAAGGTAAACAGTGATTTTATATAGGTGGTGGTGGTTAAGTGCTGTCTTGTCAGTTCTGACCCACAGCAGCCCTGTGTAGGGTTTCTCAGGAGTGACTGAACCACTGAGCTTGCGGTTTAAACTGAGCTTGCAGTCCAGCATATTATATCCTGCAGCGCCACACCAGAATACCTTAATACGAAAGGGAAATTCAAACAGCAGAATCATAATGTAATTTAAAAAAACAATGGCTCCCACATCTTTTCCAGGTTATACTTATTAACAGGCAAAGCAAATTATAAACTTTAACCTGTAATTTTTAAGAAGGACTTTCTTTGTATCATGATAAACTATTGGATTATTGAAAATAAAATGATGATCAAAAAATTTGAATACCTAATAAAAACTTCAAACTTACCATTCAACTTCTATTCCAAGCATATTGACAAGCTGGATATTTTATTCCTTAACTTACTACCTAGTTTTTGTAAGCCTTAAAAAACCATTTAGCCAATCCAAACCAAAAAGCCTAATTAAAACAATTCCCTATTTGTAGTTTTAATTTCCTCTAGTGTGATACTTAGGGTAGCACTGGTGGTGTAGTGGGTTACTTGTTAGTCTGCTAATCACAAGATCAGCAGTTCGAATCCAGCGGCTTCTCCATGGGAGTAAGATGAGGCTTTCTGCTCCTGTAAAGATTACAGCCTTGGAAACCATATACACAGGGTTGTTATGAGTCAAAATGGACTCAACAGCACCCAACAAAAATAGTGTGGTAATTGAAACTGCTAATACAAAAACATTTTTTGGGGAGAATGGGGGGCATGGTATGCTTGGCTTGGCTCAAACTAAAAACAGTATTTCAACTCCTTGTTTCACTTATTTATAGGCATCAGGGCCTTAGGGATAAGACTGTATGTAAATAATACTTTAGGAAAATACAATGTGAAGATAAATATTCATATTGCAAAGTGAGTTCTGATTGAAGGATGTTCCAATATATAAATTTTAGATTAATCTGTATAGTCAAATCATATCAGAGACACATATGTTATTTTCTACAGTGTTAACTATTTTAAATGGTTGTCATTATGATTGTTGTTTGCTTTATCCAATCCACAAGTCTTATTGACATTGAATTTTTACAAATTAATTATGTTATAAGCCTTTATAATGTATATATGTATATATATTTCTTAAGTATTTTAATCATCTAAATACCATATATTATAAGCTTTTTTTTCTATTTCTCTTAATGAGGAAAACCATAAATTGGCTGATAATGCATGTATACTGTTAGTTGGTTTTGGTTAGTTCATATTTGTTTTAAAAAGGTTTTAGGTGTTGAAACTTCATCTTAAGATCCATTTTTCAGTTCTATACTACTCTTGTATTTAGTCATTTGTACTGTTTTTGTACTTGATCATTGTCATTTATTCTTTAAAATATCTCACCAGAAACTAGCTGATCTTATGCTTTGTAGTATTTTGTTTCTATATAAACATATATGTTTCTACATAAGAAAAAAAGCCGTTTTTGCTTGTGTTAAGTAAAAAGCCTTCATTTGATTACCAACCAAGAATTCAGTAGAAGCATATTATGTTTATATGTGTACACACCTACAAAAAGTTCATGGAAAAAATAGTTAAAGACTAATGGAATTTTTCTATGAACTTTTTGAAACTCCTCTGTATAAATGTATATATGTATGTATGTATATGTGTATGTACACAAACACAGGTTAAGTCAAAAGTATTGCTACTAAGATTCTAGTTCATATATTGTTAAGTGCCTTCAATTTGGTTCCGATTCATAGTGACCCTGCATAGGGTTTCTGAGGAGCTGCTGGTGGGTTTGAACTGCCAACCTTGCAGCTCAAACTGACCATGTGGTCCAGCGCACTATCTTGCAGCGCCACACCAGAACTCCATACACAGGTTAATCCAACAAAACCTATTCAGACATGTCTCTTAGATCAGTCGATGGCAGCAGACAAATTTTCTTAGTAATATACTTGTCTTGGTCTTCTTAGGGTTCCTGTTTTTTAAAAAGAATGGTTTTTGTGCCATGGATAAAGATCATTTTGAGGTCAGGGTTAATGTGAAATTTTTAACAAAAATGGGTATCTTCCCAATTTATTGAAAGTTTGCAACAAGTTTATGAGAAAGCTGCCCCACACAGAACATCACTTTTTAGAGGGATCAAGTATTTTAAGGAATATCGAGAAGACCTCAGAAAGGAGCAAAGATATGGCAGATCATCAGCCTTGATGAATGAAGAAACTAAATTTCTTACTGCCATCTCAAAACTGTTGGAAGATAACCTTAGAGATTATCATTGATGTGATAGCCTCTGAAGTTAGGATCTCATGTAGGTTGGCAATAGTGAACATCTTGACCTCAGCAAGCTTTCAACTCCATGGGTGCCAATGGTATTGCTGGAAGATCAGCTAGTTCAAAGAGCTGATTTTTCAGTCAAGTCTTTAGGCAAGGTCTAAGCTAATGAAGATAATTTTATGGAAGGAACTGTAACCAAGATAAATCTTGGATTTACCAATACCATCCACAGAGCAAGGTTCAGTCATAATTGTGGCTTCTGTGGGAATCTGCTAGACCATTTTCATTCAAGGTGGAGGTCATCTCAGAACATTATGGTGACTATTTTAGGGACTCCAAAGGAGTAATCATAAATAAATTTTATCAAAGAATGCATGATGATTGAAGTTTTAAGAAAAATGAATATTGCACTGATGTGAAAATATCCAGGGAAGCTCTGCTGAGGAATTTTTCCCCATCGCAACATTACACCTATTCATTCTTCAAGGGTGGCCGGGACTGTCCTATGAGAATTTTGTTGAGAAATTGTACCCAGTTCACTTTACAGTCCTGACACTGCCCTGCAAGATATTGTTTCTAAAACTCAAGAGAACATTTAAAATGACTATGATTTGAGTTACTGAAGGATGCCAAAACAGCCATTTTACATGGTATAAGTTGGAAGAGCACAGAATTCTTCAGGGAAGGTTAAGAGAGACTCCAACATGGCTTTCAGAAATGCATAGAGCAAGCTGGAGGTGATGTCAAGAAACAAAAGCTTCATATTTTGTTATTTTTGTTTAATAAAGGTTTCTAAGATTTTGTTGCAATACTTTTGACACTGTGTGTGTAATATATATGTGTGTGTGTGTGTGTACATATGTATATATTGTTATGTGCTGTCGAGTTGGTTCCAACTGATAGCAACCTGGTATAGGGTGTCCAAGGAGTGGCTGGTGAGCTTGAACCCCCGACCTTGCTGTTCAAACCAAATATATTTTTATCCACAGTGCCATGCCAGGACTCCATGTATATATTTGTATGTAATCA